CAAACGTATTCGATCGGCTCAAAGTTTGGTGTCTTTCCTTTAAATTTCGCGACCCTACTTTTTGTACGAATGTTTATACGTAGGCAAATATGTGCATTTACCTTAACACGAATATGTATATATTCATAAGAGTACTCTGTGATCCATTTTTGGGCTTAGAGTGATTAAATCAGTGCTAAAAGTGTTGCAATATAATAAGACCAAGACATATACTTGCAGACGACTTTTATTTGGTTATGGACAAATAAAGTACAATTTTTATAACCTATGTATTTTTTTTCACATTGGAATTGCTTAACAAAGTATTTTTTAGTTAGCTGGTTTCTTATTCAATGATTGCATTTCGTCAACTGTATCATAATCATTTACTAACCTTTGTATTTTTTCCAGGTGAGTGACCATAACGCGTTTCCTGAGATAGTAATTCTGTGTACTTTAGGTAAGCTGTTTGAGGTCAGTTAGGGGTGCAATTTCTATTAATCAGCATGGATTCATGAGCGACAGATTTACGGTTACTAACTTGGCCATAATATGCAGAAGTTTTTCATGACTATGGTCACCTTGCCTACTCAACAGATTTTGTACAGGCCATGTTAAATATGCTGTAATATTTTTGACAACAGGCAAAAATGAGGTTTGGCCGATTATTGTTCCTACATTAAGTGGAGCTAATTTTTCACTAATAGCTTTTGTAACGAAATTTCATTTGGGAACGAAAAGTTCTGTAAAGTTGATTGAGAAATAACAAAAGATAATAATAAATAGTGCAGTCTCAAAATAAGCGATTTTCTACAAATTCCTTAAAAATGGTGATTACTACGGATTAGTTAAATCGGGCCTAATATAAAACAATGTTTTTAAGTAAAGCTATAAATTTCTGATAACGTTTGGTATCTTTGATGTCATTAGCGAATTCGCAGACGACAACTTGCATGCTTAGGTTACTTTATTACTTTATTAGAGGTGCCTACTTGTTCCGCGACCAACCGCGGGGTAGAAAGCTAGTGACAATATAAAGCAGCTGAACTGAGACGTTGCAACAAAAACCATTTGGAGAGGGTACAAAGAGCGGCGGGTAAAGAGGATTTCTTTGTGCCGCTCTCTCTATATGGAGCAAAGAATGGAATTTATAAATTACAGATGATGAATTCCTAGTTGTATATTGTTAGCGCCGCCTGGAGTTCTTTGTGGAAATTACAATTAATTATGTCCCGAACTTTTAGAGGCGATGAGAAACTTTGTAGAAGGGAACGACGAGGCATTTTATTATTCTTCCTTGGGGTGTTAATTCACTGCATTGTTCACTCAGTTGTGAAATAGCGTGATGACTGCTGCTGTGATTAGGATAAATAGATATCATCAGACGGCACAGATTAAACGACACCTCCTTATTGATTAACTACATACTGGTTGAATAGGCTAAAGAATGACTAGGTCTCGTCAATTCAATTATTGATAGATTTAATTAACCACAATAAGTCTAAAAGGATTCCACTAAACTTTGTATACCCTGAAACAAAAATCAAATTGATACGACGATTAGTCAACGCCCGATTATGATCGCCTGTGAGCTTATATTGACGCATTTCGCCAATACCAGAATTATTTACCCTAGAAATAGAGTTCCAACGCTGGTTCTTTGTTTATGCTTGAAAGAGGACTATTGATTGAACCAAAACATTACGCTTTTCAGGTCATTTTATTTGAAAAAAAAATACGTCGTTTTGATCGTTTCGTTTATCTCCGTTACTATGGATAGGCTCTTAGAAGATAAGATAATATATTCATACATAGGTTTAAATATTCTTATGTAGGTTTATAGTCATATATAGGTTTGTTTAGGAAAAGTTACCGGGTTGTAAAGTAAAAGTTATTAGAAAGTATTGTATCGCGAAAAACTTCGAAAATGAGATTCTTTGCTTTTTGGATGACATGTACATCACGAAGAAACACTCATTTCTGTCAGCCTGTCGCTGTGTCTGCCATCATTGGCGCATATATAACCGCTCGGATTTTGATGAAACTTTCACACAAGTTTACTAATAAGCCAACGATGATGTTTTTGAAAATCCGTTCAGTGGAGACGGAGAAAGATGCCAAAAAGGTAATAAATAAAAAAAAGTCAACTTTGTTTTAGGCGTTTCAGAAGATTCAGCTCGTTTTTTAAACATTTTTTTAGGGCTAAAATTTTGAGGGTGGGGGTGTTGTAGGTGAGTGGGGGAGGGTGTGTCGCAATTTTTTGATGTTAGTATATTAATACACTTCCGTTTGATAGTCTAATCATATTATCAAATTTCCCCGAAATAATTGTAGTCTGGTTTGACTGGTGCAAGTTGTTCAAGGGGGTATTGAAAATATGGACGCATAAAATGGGTACACCAATTTTTGTGGGAAAACTTTTTATTTGACAACAAAGAATAAGAAAACGTGTTTTTTGAGATTCAATCGGAAGCGTTGACAGAAAGGAAAAAACTTTTCATATAACATTTGTAGGTATTTGTGAGCTCTACAAATTGACACCACACGTAACAAGGTCTGACTAATAGCAAAAAGGTTATGGCCGAAAAACGACGCAAAATGGGTTTTGGCACTTGTTGATAATGCGACGATAATTTCACGCAACTACTTGAGATTATTCAAATCCGTAGGATTCATAATTCTAAATAACAGCAACAAAATTGGAGTATATTGGTTAAGTAGTTATATGAGAATTTCTAATTGCTTATCCCAAAACACCTATTTTCCGGCCATCACTACTAGTTTATTGAGCAATATACAGGGTCCGTTTAAGAGCATTTAATAGCAAAATACACGTGTTTATCTTGCCGGTATGAATCACAAACCATTCCGAAAGATTAATCCTATTTTTATCCGAAAAACGGTTTACGTTTTCTTCTTCTAAACAAATTGGAACATTCCGTATTTGTGAGTAATTTAACAAATGCGCTACGATATTCGAAAAAGATACGTTACTATACACATTTTGGAACAAAGAGGATGTGCCTATCATCTTTTGTTGCGAATTACTCACAAATACGAAATGTTTGAATTTGTTTAGAAGCAAAAACGTAACCCATCAACAAGGTAAACACGTGTATTTTGCTATTCTAAGGATCTTTGAACGAACCCTGTATGCTGGTCAATAAACTAGTAATAACGGCCGGAAGACAGGTGTTTTGGGATAAACAATTAGTAATTCTCAAAAAACTACGTGACCAATATACTCCAATTTTGTTGTAGTTACTTAGAACTACGAATCCTACAAATTTGAAGAGTTTCAAATATCTGCGACAAACCAACGACGTCGCATTACCAACAAGTGCCAAAACCTTCACTTTGCCTCGGTTTTCGGCCATAACTTTTTTGCTATTAGTCGGATCTTTTTACGTTTAGTGCCATTGTGTAGGCCTCATAAATACCTAAAAATGTTATATAAAGAGTTTTTTCGTTCCTGCCAACACTTTCGATTAAATCCCAAATAACACGTTTTCTCATTCTTTGTTGCCGAACAAAAAGTTTTCCTACAAAAATTGGTGTACCCATTTTATGCGTCCATGTTTTGTATACCCCCTTGAACAACTTGCAGCAGTATAACCAGACTTTACAATTATTTCGCAAACCAGGGGTATTTTCGTCTAATATGATTAGACTATGAGGTGCGCCACGGAGTTGTAAATATTACATCTTTGGTAGTGGATCAAAGCGACTTATAAAGGCAGGTAGCATACGGCACGGTGAATATAGTTTATGCTTGTAGTGTAATATAATGAGTTTGCTTTATTTCTGTAGGTATCAAACGTTGTTGACAGTAAATCAGAGCTCCAAGGAAATGAGGCTACCGTGTACAAACTCGCTCATTGCTGCAATCTGAGCGTTTTTTTTTTTAATAAAAAACCCATATGGTGCATTTACAAGTATGGTTCTGATAAAATCCACGTCTTTTTGATGCCATTGCAAAATTAAACTACCAGCTGTTTTGAGGGCGTGGGAAGTATACAGTGAATCTACTTAACGCCACTTTTTAAATAATGTATTTTTTTATTTACCTCTTCCGACATCTGGAATCACGAGGATGACGGAATCTAAGGGGATTTTTCTCATTAATGCCCTTCCGAGAGAAATATATTTTAGATGCTCTACCCAGCAATTCCTTGGTGTGTACCTGCCCTCTCTAAAATGCAATCTTAAGCAGCCCCTGACAATGCTTGCGAAAAACCACCTTAGGGATCTCTTTCAATCCCATGATCACCTAATAAATCATGAGAATTAGGACGTGACTGTTATATTACAACGGAAGCCAACATATCATTCAGATATATCAATTCCCGAATACCTGCCGCAACTTTTGGGGCCATGCCACCACAATTGGAAAAGTTTTTATTCTGATGCTACGGCGTTACCGCTTTGCCGCTGGCGCAAATTTAATAAAAACCTCAGAAGTCGGAGATCGGAGATGAGCAAAGGTGGAATCCATCAGTTACAAGACAAATAATGGCCATTTATCTTCCTCGCAATATGGGGGATTCAAAGAGACACATGCCACGACGTCTTTACTTCTCAGCCTGCTATTTTCATCTACGATGGCGAGAACAATGCTGTATTGTTTTACTTATTTATAATATAGTTATTTCCGAAGATAAGGTCGTTTGCTCTTCGGAGATCTTTTTTATATTTTTGCTACGCCTACTGACGTACTGGCGAGGAAGTATTGTAATCACGAAACATTTCAATATTGACATATTATGTTTTACGGAGTGGGGGAGGGTATGTCTCAATTATTTGATATAAGTATATTTTACGTTTCTAACTCCAGTAGGTTTAGCACCTATGCCGAATTTCGCTACCAAAATATTTAGGGCACGCTGCGCGCGTTCTGCTAATCTTCGACCGGTAGGCACGTGTATGTAATGTCTGATCTGATCTGTTCAATTATTGTGTTATACATGTTCGTAACTAACTTTTTTCTCGGAGGGTCTAACTTGTACTGAACATATTTCTTTATGGCGGCGTCGCGTGGGAAGTCAACCTACTTGACGCCATTTTTTTAAGGTTACTAAGTGGTGTGTTATATCGACGCCGAAAGTAAGAAGAAGACTTACTTATGAGATTTAGAATAAATAAAAGGACATGGCAATAAAATAGGATGAACAGTAAGTTAATACATTTAAAATACATATTAGTAACACGTACATTAGACAAAAGGTCTTTGAGGAGATGGACATATCTTGACTCATCTATGTATGTAACTTGCTAAGTGTATTATGGCCAAAATATAATGAATTCATCGAGCTCGTTCTAGCAAATTTTGTAATTCGGAATTTATATGTGTCGATTAATTACATCTCAATATTACTCTCAATGCACAGTTTTTGTAGCACAGCTAATTGAGTTACTTATATTGGATAAGGCAGCCTCTGGGTATTTAAGACGTAGGCTTGCATGGTCGCTCAAGTATAAAAAGACAATAGTCGAAATGAGGCTGGATTATGGTTTTGTGGACTGTTAGCCTTGTTTGAAGTGGAACTGCGACGCCTGTTCCTGAATACAGGGTGACTTTGAAGTTGAGTCATTAATTTTCAGATAATGATTGTAGAAGGAAGATAAACCAAAATATGTGTGTAAAAATAAAAAAAAAATAAAAAAAAATGTTACCTTGTTTAATAAAGTATCCTCCCGACAAGTATTTCAGTGCGGACCTGTATTTGATCGTGCGGTCTTGGAGCAGCATGCCCTCACCTGTGAGGTCTTAAGTCACCTGATTCACGAGCCCTTTGCACTACATTAACAAAGGCACGAGGGGTTGGTTGCACTCGATTGGGAAACCGATTCGCATAAATCCGTGATGCATCCGGGAGCATTTTGTAAAGACTGCCCCCCCGTAAATAAGAATCATGTCCACAAGTTCAGCATTTTCGTAAACATGTGCCATTTTTGATTTCGTTTGAGCCACGCAACACACTACTATTCACTCAGGATTTATCGACTGACGAAAAACATCGTGATAAACGTTTCAAATTCTTTCGCTTTTTTGTTTCCGATGCGATGAACCGGTCAGGCGGATTATATCCGTTGTCGCCAAACACGAGCATATAATAGGCAGGGCGGTACTCAAACTTCCAAAGGGCTATAACTTTGTTACTTTAATTTTACCAGAAAAATGGTAAAGGAAAAAAACATTTCTTTTGATCAGATCTACTCACTGTTAAAATAAATGACTCAACTTCGAAGTCACCCTGTATAAGTATATTTTTGTTGATATTTTTATAAAAAAACGTTTGTCAAAAGTTAAACTGCTGCCCAAATGAACTCCTAAGTAGATATTAATAAGGTGAAAATTTAATCTTTTCCTCTGTTAATATAAATATCAACCGCTGATCAATTTCAGATTATGTTTTCACTACAGCAGTTGAGAAAGCAGAGCCTAAACAGACTTTTAGCGACTGTTATAAAAAAATTGAACGGATCTTTCGAATTGAGACAGCTTAGAGCGCCATCTATTAGTACCTGAAACGGCCACTGCGACAGCGACTACGAACAAGTGCCTACAGTTGGTCGTCTGTGGTCGAACGGGCGAAAGCAGTATGTTCAGTTGAAGAGATACTGTTGTTACTAGATCTGAATTCGCTAAAGCCAGTCCGCCAAGATTGTTCCACATTTCCGAAAAGCTAGAAGCAAGAGAGTAACCGTACGAGAGTGATTGATGTACAAACCTTGACAGGTTAAAATCAGAAGCTGGGGCTTGGACACCTCTTGGATTAGCACCATTCAGATGACAAAGCAGGAACAGATGATTTAGCTTCTTGATAAAAAATCGCCAGATCAACGACCTCCGTAGGCGTAACCAAAGATCACGGATTCGTGTTGAGGAAGTACCACCGATTAGTCGGATGGACAGTATAGTCGGGTAGCAAACCCAAGAGACATGTGAGCAAGTCAGGTGTCAACTGGACTTCTTCCTGAGTGACTGGGCTAGATGGTGTGAAGTAGACAAAATTAATCAAACAGAAAGATATTGGCAATTACCAGCGAGTTAAATCTGATCAAAATCATTAGAATCCAGAGCCAAGCGATGGCTCGGTCGCGTAAAGCTATTAGCATAACGAGTTGATAACGCACACCTAACAGCTGTTGGTGATTTGTTTCGGCAGCCTGGCGTTTTATAAAAGATCTATTTTGAAAAATGGCAGGCTGCACCAGCAAGCCGTGCACGGCGCACATCGTGCTGCCCTCATTAATATCAGCGAGGTCGTTAATTAAATTTTTGCTTTTGCTAAACGTTCCTGCTCCATGCCTCTGCTACGCGGTGCATATGGACCTCGATTAATGCCCGCCGTGTCAGATTACTATAAAATTTCTCATTATGTTATATATTCCATTTTTAATATATTAAACATGTAATCTTGTTTATTACTCGTATATCAAAGGGGCGTTCAAATATGCCCATATATTTATTATTGAAACTAATGAACTTTCTGTTTCTTCAGATCTCGTAAATAAACTGAGTCTGCATCCTTTAATATGCTGAACAGTTAGATTCAAGTAAGTAATTCAAGTAAGAAGGTATTAGTACTCTATATTGACATAACAAAAGTCGTCCATATGGTTGTCCACGCTTATTTGATAAATAAAATAGTTCCCTTAAATGTTCTCCTAGTATTGCGCGGAATCCGACTTGACGAACAGAAAAATGGTTGGGCTATAGTACTCAAAGCCTAAGAGCTTTTAATGGACAAAAGCGGCTCATCAGGCTTATATTCCATTCGAACTCTGTGGATGCCTGCCAGCCTATTTTCATTGAGGTCGATTTATTAGCGGCGCGTTGTGTCTACATACTTTATTGTATCATGTCCTACTATAGCTGTAGTCACCGTTCTTGGCGGGTTAAAGTAACAGTATCCCTCTATATATCTCCCAACTAACAATTATCACTCCTATTAGAGTTGCAAAAATGATTATACAGTATTCCTTACACAGCATTGTATACTGTAAGAACATTGGCAAAACCCTCTTAGAACAGCTATACAAGCGGAGTGGACACTTCAGTCATTTAAGAGGTTGTATAAGGGCTGCAGGTAACATTTATATAACAAAAGTGTAAGCCCCTTGCAGCCGCTATAGGACATTTGCGTCAGTGCAAGATTCAGTTTTTGTCAACTATACAACTATTCTGTTACGTGAATCTACTTTATTGCAACCAAACTATTTCTTATGTATTGCATAGATGAAGAGAAGAATATATAACTAACACATTACAGTCATCTTGTGTACTTACATATCGGCCATTGTGAATTTTATACATAGGTATATGCCTAACTTCTACACTGTGATATAGGGCTATTGAATTACTTGCGCTGAAAATTTTATTGTGGTTATAGTGCAAGGTTGTTACGCAATTTCTACGGGCTTCGTATTTGATTCATATTTTAAAAATGATTAAAAGTATGTCTAGATTTTTAGGATGAAAAACTGAATTTATCTGCGTTAAACCTTCCACAAATCCCATATTTAGACACAATTACACTAATGTTTATAACTTTATATCTGTAATGTCGAACTGAAACATAATCATTTAATTTTCAATTTAGGAATATATTTTTGCACAATATGGCTGGTGATTATGTATAATCATGGTATCGTCCATGTTGGCTTTGGTTTATTAGAATATTTTGGTGTTGCCTGCAGGTGTTATACAACAATTTGACAAATCTCTGAAATAAAATACGGAGAGAGTCGAATGGTTTACCCAGAAATTGTACCAGATCTACATCTTCTGTTTGAACAGTTGACAAAACCTTCTAAACCAATAGGCATGCGTTGTTATTGGTTAGGGCATTTTAACTAAAATGATGACAGCAGAAAGTTAGGTTATGGTTAAGTTGTATAGCAACATATTTAACCACAAATGTATGCCGAGCACAGCAATTTTGTACTATAAAAGTTGTAATATTGTTACAGGTGTACAGCCTTTAACAGTTACTAAACGACAGTTGTATAAGTACTACCGTTGGGAGTGATTTGTTGGCTAAAGTAGTAAATTTGCAACCCAAAACAACAAGGCTTGGGTTTGTTGTATAAACGTTACCATGGATGCCACAACATAACTGTTTTGACTACCGCGCAAATATGCCGTATAAAATAGTTGTATAAACGTTTATGCAACAGTTCAAAATTTGTCCTATAAGGTGTTGAATAACTTATGCTATAAGAACGTTTTAAACACATCTTTTTAGAGTAAATATGCTGCAGAAAGCATATTTGCATTCCACACAACATTAAGCCAGCATTTTGGTGTTCAGGCAAGAACAATAGAGAGCTTTTACGGCTGAACAGTTCTTTTACGAAAAGCTTATAGCACTACTTTGCTAGTTGGGAATCTTGGATCGGTTTCCCTCAGCTAGAAAAATTAAGATCATATGACGCAACTGCCAAGAACGGTGACTACAAGTATAATTATTTAGATTTTTGCTCATTACGCATGTGTTTTTACTTTTTGTGTGTCAAAATACGACTACATCAATTATTACTACTTATCTGTTATACGATGTACTTAGACTTCATTTATGAACCCTTTGAAGTGGGTGGACCATGGAAGGCTACGCCAACAAATAAACATTATTATTCCTTTATGTACTAGATAGATGAAACAAATAAATTATTGAGTAACACTTTTTTCTATTATGTAACTTATAAGATGTGCCTTTTTTTACAGATTAATGATTATTTACCTATTCCAAGTTTTATTAAGCTCTTCCGTACGACTTTGCAAGAAAATATCTGCTTATTTTTCTCAAACTACGTGTACAGGTCTTTCGTCTTAATGAAATTCTTACAATAATGCGTTCTTATTGAATATCAGTTGGGTAAAGTTTTCTCTTTTGTATCATGATTTTAAGGAAACCTTTTTGTATGTCTTCGATTTGTGTAAGTTAAGTTTTGTATATCCCTCCCCATTCAGCAATTCTGTATTGTATAAGCGACTCAACTAGTGCTACATACACCATTTCCAATTGTTTATTGTTAAGCATACTTCTTAATTTTGACAATTTATATAAAATTGTTCTTAATGTTTTTACAAAATTTCGTGCACGATTATCACATCTTATAAAACTGTCGAAATCAACTCCTAAATATGACAAAATGTTCAATGTTTTGAACTTCAGAATGGTTGCTGTGTTGCACGTTGCTGCTGAACCAGTCCGAAATACGTTTAATTTCCCTTTCCGCGACCTGTTCAACCTCTTGCCATGAAGTGCCCTCAAAAAGTATTACAGTGTCGTCTGCAAACGTCGTCTCAAACCGAACATGTTTATAGAAAGCTTGATACAAGGATATTTCACTTTGTAATAAGTCTTGACTATCCTGGAATCGTATATAAAATTATTTGTTGGTTTTTCTCGGCTTAATCACTGGCCCGTCATGAATGAGGCTCTCCAATGGGAGTTTCGATTCCTATGGCCTTCTTCAAATTATCTCGATAAAAATAATTTTACTACCCTCTCGGAAATGAGATATTAAGATACGTAAAGCATGAACGCTTCTGTTTACGAGCACCTACTGTGTAACTCGTTGAAGTTTTCTGATTACAAACTCAAACTACTCGGATACAGGTCGTTAAAGATAATTTTTAATTAAAAATAGTCGCTGAAAATTTTTATCTAAGAGAGGGAGGTTTAAATTACATAAGCTTGAACTAGCTTTTTTCACATGTCCTTCCTAATTGGAAATTTTCAAAATAATACCTGATTATACAGGGTGGCCTATATGATTCTGACTGGTTTGTATCTTGAATATTTATGGAATTAAATAAAATACGTAAATTTTTTTCATCTTAATCTTTTACTGAAACTTAGAAATAATGTATGAGAGTATATCAGACAAATGTCCGACTCTAGAAGCTACGCAAACCTGAGCCCTATTGATTACATTTTCGATCACTTTTTGGTAGGTTTCGGAAGAAATATTTTCAGTCGCTTCCGTAATATGATTCTTCAGCTGTTCTACAGCATTTGGTTTGTCGACATTTTTTTTTTATATTATATTATATAAATGCCGGAACACCGCGGCTGCTATGATGATCCCAAAGATATTTTGTTAATACGATTTTTGAACTGCCTAAGGTTAGTAGAACTGGGAAAAGCTTCCTCTTGTAGATTGTTCCACAATCTAGACACCGTCGGGACAAAGGAGCGGTCGTATCGGCCAGTTCTGGGTGTACGAAGTTTGACACGGTTAGGATGGGACGCCGAAGTCAGGCGTGTCTGTCTGGCAGGCACATCGAGCGGCGGCATCATGGAAGAGAGCTCTGAGGAGCAAAGCCCGTTGGTGTAGCGATAGAAAAGAGCTAGATCGCCGACGGCCCGCCGGTGCGAAAGAATCCCGAGACTGTCTGTTAGAGAAGAGTCATCGATCAGTCGGACCGCCCTCCTCTGGACAGCATCGAGCATGGACAATGTAGTCGGGGCGGCAGCAACCCAAATGTGTGAGCAATACTCGAGGCTAGGCCTTATCTCGGCCTTGTATAGAGTGAGAAGGTCATGCGGAGAAAAGTACTTCTTAGCCCTAAACAAATAGCCTAGCTTTTTCCCAGCAGCTGCAGCTATTGACGAGATGTGTTCGTGCCAGATCAGGTCCTCGGTGATCTGGACTCCAACCAGCCGAAATGAATAGCTCTTTGGTAGAACTCGGCCGTCCATCGAAACTGTATGAGCGCTAGGACGCTTTTTGTTCGTCAAAGTACAGTACTGTGTTTTGGAAGCATTGAACTGTACAAGATTGTTGCATCCCCAAGCAGTGATAGCCTCCAGGTCTCTTGTCAGAGAAGAAGTCGTCGCTAGTCTGCTTTTTTCCAGCTCAGCGGCAGAGATCGGCTTGTCACTCTGAATTCCTGCATGTAGAGTGCTGTCATCAGCGAAGCTGTGGATTGGGTTGATCGTGCAGGAAAGGAGGTCGTTGATATGTAAGAGAAACAGTGTTGGAGCCAAGACAGATCCCTGGGGATCACCCGCGTTGACGTTGTGGGATGAAGAGGAGAATCCCTCAATTACGACGGATATCTTGCGGCCAGAGATAAAGTCAGCCGCCCATCTGCCAAGCTTTTCTGGGAGGCCATAGGATGGAAGTTTGCTTAAGAGGGCAGCGTGCCACAGCTGATCGAACGCTTTCGAGATGTCAAGAGCAACGACATGAGCCTCACCATGAGACTGGATGAGTTTACTCCACAATTGCGTGACGTAAGCTAGGAGGTCCCCTGTGGATCGTTGGTGCCGGAAACCGTACTGCCTGTCGCTAATCAAGCTGTGACGTTCGAGGTAGTCCAGAAGCTCGCGATTTATGCACCTCTCCAGCACTTTACTTATAACAGAAAGCAGAGCTATAGGCCTGTAGTTGTAAGGGTCGGTCTTAGACCCTTTTTTGGGATGGGCTGGACATGAGCAAATTTCCAGTTTTCTGGGAAGGTGCCGGATTCATAAGATATCTGGAAGAGATGCGAAAGAACTGGAGCAAGCTCCGCTGCACATCTCTTCAATACGATGGCAGGAATCAAGTCCGGACCAGAAGCTTTGTTGATGTCGAGCGACAAGAGCACTCGTCTTATGGTCTTATGCCTGAATGTTACCTCCCGCATCGAGCATGGACAATGTAGTCGGGGCGGCAGCAACCCAAATGTGTGAGCAATACTCGAGGCTAGGCCTTATCTCGGCCTTGTATAGAGTGAGAAGGTCATGCGGAGAAAAGTACTTCTTAGCCCTAAACAAATAGCCTAGCTTTTTCCCAGCACACTAGTGGGGAACCCTTTGAATTGACGGTACTTGGGCGTTGGTGGGGACGTCCGTGGTGGAGTTGGTAGCAAAGATCTTGGCTAGCACTTCCGTCTTGGTCTTTGAGTCGAATACAATAGTTCCATCCTGACACGTAAGTGGTGGAAGGCTACTGTGTGAGAAGTTCTTTTCAATCTGCTTGGCCAGCGTCCAGAAAGACCGACTGCCATTGCGCTGCGACATTACCCTGTGCCTAACTTTTATATCGTGATGGTTTTTGGCATTGCGAACCGTTTCGTTATATTTGTTTCTGGACTCGACGTCGGCTTGTCTGTTCTCTACAGTGGGGTTTTGTAAGTAGTTCTGTGTGCCTTGAGCTCCTGCTGGCGAGCAGTGTCACACGATTTGTTAAACCAGCCGTTGGACCCTGGTTTAGGAGCTTTCACTGTGTGAGGGATGTATTCCTCCATTCCGACGTGGATAATTTCGCTTATCGAATAACAGACAGTCGACGCATCCGCGTCAGTGAAACAGAAATCTCTCCAAGGAAAGCTAGAGAAGAAGTCTTTGAGCCCCTCCCAGTCGGCATGTCCGTAATGCCAAGTTTTGCGGCCTGAACGAGTTTCTGCTGCCACAGCGGGTTCTGACCGAAACCTAACCTCCACAACACCGTGGTCTGAGTTACCCAGGGGGGACAGGACAGCAGTGCTGTAAGGGACAGGATGCGTGGTCAGAAAGAGATCCAGCAGGCTACTGGCGTGTGACGAGACGCGGGGGAAAAAAGTAGGGCTCGTCACCAGCTGGGTCAGCCCTTCAGTAAGAGCAAACGTTTCGACTGCACGACCTGCTGCATCGGTCTTATTTGAGCCCAACCAAAGCTCATTATGGGCATTGAAATCACCGAGAAGAACTATCTCTGAAGCGGGGTGATTGATGTTCAGGAAGTCGATCTGGACTGCGAGGTATTCGAGTAGGTCATCCCAGTTATGGTCCGAGGGAGAGCGATAAAGGCAGCAAATAAATTTGGATGATGTTTTGGAGTTGAGGCGAAGCCACAGAATGTAATTCCGGTCTGATTCCAAAGAAAGATCCCTGGAGCAGGAAAGACTGCTGCGGACAAAAGCTACAACTCCCCCGTTCTTTCTCAGATTGGAGTGCACCTCGTAATTTGGGAAGTTGAGATGGTTAATCGGTGCAGTCTCTGAGATTTTTGTCTCCGCCAAGAAAAGCACGGCGGGACGATTGGATTGCAGGTAGTGATGAACAGCATCAATGTTGCTGTTAATCCCGCAGATGTTCGAAAAACAAATTTTATCTTCGATGTTGTTCCCTCGAGCCCACCCTCCACCCGGACATTCCGAGAGTGGAGTGAGTTTACGTCCGGAGTTCTTAGTGCTCGAGGGATCCATCATCATTAATTTCTTTGTGGAAGATAACCGACTGCATAGCTTAGGTGTGGAAACGTGCGGACATTTATAAGACACCCTGGGAAAAGCTAGCGGGTGGTACCGCCTCGGTCGACTGGCCCTTGTCTACCACCTTCTTTTTACGTGTTAGTGATATTAAATAGACCTAAAGTGGCCCGTTGGCGGACTTGCACCGCCACCCGGCAATCGGTACTGAGGTATTCCTTAACGCGTGTACAATCACTTGGACGGGAAGAAGTTGTATACTGGATACAACAACTTCCGGAACAAGCATTTACCACGGCCCTCGCTCAGTAGGGCGACATAAGCCCTATTTTTCAAAAATCCCCATACAAAAAGTAAGGAGCCGTTAATCCGATGACCTTGGTGGCCAGTGGTCAATCGAGAAATTATATGTTTCGGAAATATTGTTCGCAAAAGATTCATTGTTTCCCTAGCTATGTGACAAGTTGTTCCTTCCTGCTCGAACCACATGTTTCGCAGGTTAAATTGTTGGATTTGAGGGGCCAGAAAGTTTTGCACTATATCACGGTAGCGCTCGCCAGTGACAGTAAGAGAATTACCCGCAGGGTCTTCAAAGAAGTAAGGTCCAATGATACTTCCATACCAAACACTGCACCAAACTGCGACTCGACGAGGATGTAGTGGTCGGTGATGGATGACACGAAGGGTTCTCTAAATGCCCAGATACGACAATTCTGCTTATTGATAAATCCGATCCGTTCATATTGAAGTGGGCTTCATCGCTCATTTTCAGTTGGCGCTAAAAATCGTTATTTTGAGTATTAAGCTGTAATATTGCATGACTGTATTGTTGGCGACTTTCATGGTCACTAGGCTGACGTTAGTGGGTTAATATAATTTCCTAGGCCCGCGAATACAAGTCTTTTTTAAAATAGTACATAATCACGTGCAACGAATATCCAGTTCTTTAGAATGATGTCTGGTAGACATCTCAGGGCGCTCCACTACACTTTCACGAACTCCCTCGATATTTTCCGGAGTACGAATAGTTCGAACATGGTCCGACCTTGGCAAGTCTCTAACTTCATCTGCTTGCTCAAATTTCTGAGCCAACTGACGAATGGTTTTGACACTGGATACATTATTTCTACCAAAATCATGTCGAAGCTTCCGAATCGTTGCAACAATCGACTCATTATTTAAGTAAAAC